CTCCTCCCTCCCCTTCTGTTTCTCTGATCAGGAGGGGAGCAAATGACAAAATCGATCTCATTCGCTGGAGAGGAGCTCCTTCATGGGAAGTGTGTTAGTATGCATTCGAAAGCTGAAAATTGAGGCTACAGCTCCACATGGCCGATTTTTCAAAGCACCCCCTTCATAGCGCTATAAAAATCTGAAATAAAAATTAGGTTTCACACGACCACGTGTTTATCTCGCTTATATTTTGCTGAACAGAACTCCTTCCCGTAGAGTGTCGACACTCAAACTGTAGCACAGGCTTCAGAGAGCTGAGAAACGTTTCTTGTTTCTCAAAAAGCTCTTTTGACCTCTAATCACCCTTGGTCTTGTGATTTGTGATTCGAACCTCGCTGGACAGAGCTCTTTTTTTAGATTATCAGTAATCATCTGATAGCGTAACGTTTCCTCATTCTAGCAATGTGCTTATTTTCTGGAAATATGGTTTCATCAGGGAAGAAAGATCGAGTTCTACACTATTGGCAACGTTTTTTACCGGCTACACGACAAGGCAAGGGCAGTGGCAGAGGGCGGGGCGAGGCGGGACGGGGACGTCAGTATATTTTCAATATGCCTGGTAATCATTTTTGAGCCACACATGTCAGTGATCTGTCAAGGAGGGCTGACTTATAGAGCCCGATACACGTGTTTCGATCTTGCTCTATAAGTCAGCCCTCTTGACAGACCACTGAAATGCGTGGCTCAAAAATGATTACTAGGCAATATTGAAATTTGAGCTGTGGTCTCACGAAAACACTCGAAACGAAAGGTCGATATATTGTTATCCAGTTGGGAGTTTTTCCTCCGCTTTGAAAGAAACTCCAAATAAAACGTTTGACTAAGCTACTACGGATATTTCTCTACACATTGATATGCTTTCGGGCTTCCAGCGAATTATACGCGTGATAAAAAGGAAAGCGGAAGGCGAATGCGAAATATAATCTTTGACTGGATCTACAGCGTTATATAGAGCTGTTTTGAAACACCGGCGATGTGGAGCTGTAGCCTCAAGTCTCAGCTTTCGAATGATTACTAGCGCTCCTTTGGCAAGTTCCTCTCCAGCGAATGAGATAGGTTTTTCGTTTATCCTCTTATAACTGAGTAGTTCCTCACTGTTTCATCTCCGATTAAACTTCTACAGATTCACCAGAATAATATCTCAAAAGTAGGTGTACTTACGCTTCGCCACCAAGGGTTAAACGCGGGTTCAATTCCCGCCTAAGGTCGAATTTTTGTGTATCGCTTAATCTTCCTAGCACTAATTGAAAAAGTATAGGTTATGGTAAATAGAAAGCTGTCAGCTCAAATGGTATTAGTGCCGAAATGTTCTAACCAACACTAAACCCGTTAAGGGCTGATTGGTGACAGTTTCGATAGTCCATATCGAAGAAAGAGCAGTTGGAAAGGTGTAGCCTCGTGGTGTCGTGCTACCACGCGGGTGAAACGCGGGTTCAACTCCCGCCTGAGGTAGAATTTTTGCGCACCATCTGTCTTCTTTATTTTTGAATGAATATTTCAACATCAGACCACTGCTAGAAAGCAGTTAAATTATAAAAAAAAAAAACTTAGGACATCCTTAGAGTTGTTGATGTTCGGCTACGGTCGTCGGAACTGCGGAACACTCACTGCCTCTGCCCCTAGGAGGGGGAGGAGTCTCCGACTAACTCCCTCGGGACCCTGTCATAACCCTTGACCCTTGAACCTTGACCTTTGACCCGAGAAGCAATGAACAACAACAACGACATCACTTACATGCGCAACTTTTCAGAATATGTAGAAGTCTTTCGATATATTTTGCTGAGATTTCAGCAATATGAAGTGGAATCGCAATTGTTCGTCTAGTTTGCTAGTTCTTACCACTTATTTAACGCCTAGAACGCGTGTGGCGCAGTGGTAGAGGTGCTCTGCGTCGCCCACACGGTCAGTGGTTCGATACCTCGCTGAGGAATTACCAACCTTTCCATCATTCTGGGATTGGTAAATTAGTATCAGACTTGCTAGGCAGCACTGACTTGATACATCGGTAGGCTATAGTGAGTCATTATGAGAGCTAAACAGATGCGCGGGCGCAACCCCTTAGGGACTGATCAACGTCGCGATCTTCATTCTCTACCCTTTCTAGCGCCTATCTTTCATGGCAAGTACGGTTTGGAGTACAATCACAGGAATCCTGGGATACCAGTAAAATTCGGAATCCTGAAGCAGCTTCGAACTCCCGACTACCTTCTAGGAACTCACGTGTTAACCACTGCACCATCGAGGAACATGCTATACCCCCCACTCGGCCATGTTGTCTACGAGTTCGAGCCTCGCATGATCGCTTCGTGGAAATCTCCCTTACAACTGAGCCACATCGAAAACACTCAACTTGACCCTCACTGGATCTCCACATGTTGACCGAATGCAAAAAAAAGGCTCCAGCGAAGATGGACGATCTCTCACTCTCGCCGTCTGATTCTCACAACCGTGTGTCATTGGAGCGCGTTATACTCCCACTGTGATCTCAGTTGATGTCTCAGAAAGCTTCATGATAGGTATTGTATAATTGTCATCTTCCCTGAAAATGTCCGAATTTACCGTTGGAGAATTATAAAATGGTCAATGCATCGTGGTTATCGCGGCACAAAAGAGCGCTAATGTGGTACCGGCGCACAGTCCTCTGCGTCTCTGACCATGTAATACAACCGCCGCCCGTCATTGACGACGCCCGAGGTCCGGAGAGTTTCTCCCGGCTGCTTTTGTCTTCGTGATCCAGCATCGTTCGTTTTTTTCTAGTAGTTATCGTCCTAGTCATCATTTCCTTATACCGGCTCTATCACGTGCTTTAAGTGCCTGATCTTTGGACTTTTTCTTAGTAGACAGAAGTTGGGTCGCCATATTTCCATAATATGCGGTGAGCTTAAACCCCGAGTGGGTTAAAGTCACTTTCCAGCAGGGATTTCTCCTTCGGGAAAGACCAGTGGACCACGGCCACCATCGGTCCCGAGTGGGTTAAAGTCATTTCGGGGCCTTCGGGAGGCTCGTGTCCACGGCACCATCGAAAGGTGATGGTTCCCTACAGACTTTTTCTTTGTAATCGCCTAGGTTTGTTTGCCATATCTACGCTAAGTCCCGACACCTCCTTTAATCATCGGTATTTCTTGTGGTTTTCTGCTTTTCGACTCTCTTGTGGTGCCGAAAATGGTCCTACTTTACCTGACGGTAACGAAATCAAAGCTTGTTGATAAGAATTCTTCTATTCGGCCTCTTTTTTCAGCGGTGGAACGATATCACAAATATTACCTAATAATAAACCCAAGGGAGCCTAAGGGTAAGCAAAAATCCAACCTCAGACAGGATTTGAACCCGCATTTCATCCATACATGGGAGCGCATGCTACCGCTACAGCACAGAGGCCTACCACTTGCCCACCAATCATTCTTCAATATCTCTCTGTCCATAGCTATCGGCCAACTCTTATCGTAATATAAGCAGTGTCGCTCTATGAATCCAGTTAAGCTGACAGCCATTGTTAATCAAGAATTTTATGTCTGAACTGTTTTTTTTCGCAGTGGCATGATGTTTTGAATTCCCCCTTAGAGAGTTGAGTGGTGAGAAAATAATAGCGCTAGAGACACTGAAGAATGAGTGGTGTTGAAACGGTGCTTCGCTGGTGTAGTGGTAGGACGCGCTTCAGGTATGGGTGAAACGCGGGTTCAACTCCCGCCTGAGGTCAGGTTCTTGCTCATCACTTAATTCTCAGGTGACTGAAGCATTATAACATTACGAAAATGCAGTAAAAATATTGGAAATCTTGAGCTTATTAATATACCCCAGAGTATTGCTGCAGTGATGTGCCGGATTTGACGTCGGACAGGAATCAAACCCGGATCTCACTCTTTGCTCCGGGGCGCGTGCTTAACCAATTGCACTACCAACGCCTGTCCTGCTTATCAGTATTTTACGCTCGCTTCAACGCATCAATCTCTCAGCAACAACCGTCAACGGTTTGGCCCGGCAAGCAACATTGGCTTTGATCGCAGTTATGCTGACAAATATTGGATATATGCGATCAACAAAAGATCTTTTTTCTAGAGGTTAGCACGCGCCCCGGCAAAGGATGAGATGCGGGTTCGATTCCCGACTGAAGTCAGATTTTTGCACATCACTCAAAATTATTGGGAAAACTTCTTATATTGTATTTCTGTGCTACTATCTGACCGCTAGAAAGTCACGCTCCAACTGCATATTGCGCATATAAACCCAGTGATGTGCAAAAATTTGTGCGTCTCGCAGGACTTGAACTCGTATCGTACTCTGTGCGGGAGCGCGTGCTCTAAACCGTCGCACTACTGCGCACGTTTTGTCATCACTCTTTCTACGGTTGCAACGCATCTATCTTTCAGCAACCAACCAGCAGCGGTCTGTCCTAGGTAGTCGGCATAGGTGCGATGTAGCATAAAAGGGTGATGCAAAACGGGCGTCAGTTCGGCAATGGGCTAGAGCACGCGCTACCGGATAGAGTGATGTGCGGGTTCACAGTCCCGCCTGACGCAGAAGTTTTGCACATCACTCTACATCACTGGGTTATTTATAACATCATACTACCACCAAAAACGATTGAATAAAAAGATATTCGATTTATACTCAAAGTAATCTACTGAATAAATGTCCTGCTTTCACGACTATCAGGCCAAAATCACTAGCGGATGAGTCTTACGTACTATGACTAGTCATCCAGCAATTCAACGAATCTGCCCATCTCCTCGTGTGCAACGTCAGTCGAACAATCTTAATTAGGCTGCCAGAAATCAAAATAGGCAGACTGAACAGGCATATTTGCAGTATAGTAATGGCGGGGGATCAATTGCTGGGTTTCCAATTTAGACCCAACCCTTTGAGGACCAGCGTTGACAAGCAGATGACGTCGCGCACGTCCCTTACGCGGCTCTCACAGGGGCGACATCTGCCGTCTCTGTGCGGGGATGTCATGCTGTCTGTGTCTGTGTGACCCACCAACGCCTGCATTCCCGAGATACGAGACGCCGCCGTTACAGTAGCTGAGTGAGATCTGGAGTCGCGCGGCGTGGTACGAAACGTACCGCATGATCCCTATCGGATAAAGGCAATTGAAGGAGGTCTTCCCCCATCGCTCTCGCTGGTGATCATCATGACATGGCGTGTTGTCTCATGTGAGCTCTTTCTCTATCCGTGCCTTTTTCCCTCCTTCACTCTCTCTTTTATTTCTCTCTCGCTCTCTTTTCTTCGTCTTTCTACTTTCCCTGTTTTTGTCCATTGCATCGCTGCTGTAGAATATGTCGAACTAGAGTTACCTATGGTTTTGGCTGTAATGTTCTTTTTACTGGTGTTTTTGGAAGAGTGAAATGTACGTAATTCTTAGCAGAGTATGTGTAAATGCACTTTAGTAGGTTTTCTCCTCTTCGACACGGTTGCTCATTTTTCTATCTGCTCAACCATTGTGCTATTGAACTCTTCAGTGTTCCATCTCTGTTCAAGAGTTTTTTCTAGTATCGATTTTGACTAAGTTCACAGTTGTGAGCTACGGTAGAGAATTACAGGATGTCACGTTCTACAGTTGTTGATGTTCCAAAATGTACGAATTGCAGCATGTCACCGCCAACATTTGCCGACCTTGGAAAATCTGCGAGAGATCTCTTCACTAAGGGATACCGTGAGTTTGGAAAATTTGCAGTGCTAGCAAAGGTCTCATAAAATAGAGTTTTTCGGTGCTTCTCCATTATGAGGTGGCAAATGAAAGACTGACCTCATTCGCTAGATAGGAACGGTACTCTTCATGGAAGTGTTAGCAATCATTCGAAAGCTTAAAGTTGTGGCCTGTGCCCCACGTCGCCGGTTATCGAAAAGACTCGTTGTAACGGCTGTAAAATCACGACAAAACTATCTATCAAGCGTGCATATCTCCCGCTGGACCAGAGCTTTTTGTGGGCTACGAGTAGTCAATCGGTAGACAGTTGCGGTATCGAATGATCACTAATAGATCTAAAAAAGAGCTCTGTCCGGCGAGAAATATGATCGTCTGGAACGTAAGGAATTTAGCTCACTAACAGCGTCAAAAAAGGGCTTTTATGAAAACCGGCCACGTGGGATTCTAGCCACGACTCTAAGCTTTCGAATGAATGCCAACACTTCCATGAAGTGTTCCTTTATAGCGAATAAGATCGGTTCTTCATTTGTCACCTCATTATGGACATGAACCAAATTTTCTTTGTTTTTTGAGTTAAGCACGTTCCAGGTTATTAAGAAGGCGATGTCGCTGGAACTTCAATTGTTTGACTGAATTGTATCATAAATATCTTGCCTTTGCCTCAAAAAGAGGAACAGGGACTTTTTTAAGAATGTCGAGAGTGGTGAATAGTCGGTCCTGAGAAAGAATCATGTATTGCAGATCATGGTTTTTTGAAAGTTGATGCAACAACGAAGGCTGGGGACAATAAGGAAGTCGAGTTCAAAACATCTGCCGCCCATAATCTTGGATCGGGAAAACTTGGAGGGAACTTTGACGTGAAGTATAAAATTCCGTCTTATGGTCAGTTATTGTTGTAGTTTATCTATACCCACAATGCTACATCAATCTTTAAGTTTTTTTCAAATGGATGTTTATCCTCAAGTCTATTCATGTCTAGATTGTAGCTCATAATTTTTTCTTAGACATGACTTTATTTACCGCTCCTTACAGCAGTCATGAACCCTTAGGGACGGTTTGCATCCAGTGGAATGCACGCACATTTCTTTGGATTTCGCGATACACATCTTTTCCAACAGTTTTCTAGTAGTCATTCGATAGTTTGCAAAAAGGCAGTTCATTACTGCGCTTTATTTCCGAAGGGATCTTGTCGAGGCATTCTAGCTATGAAGAGAAGATTGCGTTTCACATTCGTAGTGCTTATTTGCTCGACTTTGCTCTGCCCTAGAACTTTCATCTACGAAGAGATTCTGGGACTAGATTTGTTTTTCCTGAAGAAAAGTTTTTATGTAGCACTGTAGGGGTGAGAAGAAGATTGTGCTTCATCCTCGGACTTTTTTTTTCTCACGTAGGAAATATATATGCAATAAAAGTAGATGACTGTGTAGAGGAAATCGCGGAGCTTGAGAATAAAACGAAAAATCTGAGGTTTTCCCCAAAAGATGAAAAACCTAATCAAATAAAGAAAATTGCATGCCGTTTGCCACTCGCACTGCGCGATCGATCAACTACCGCCTGAGGAGGTTAAATGATCTCTAACTTGTTGTCATCACCGTTCTTCACAGACTTCTATGAGAAGTCTCTGGAGAATTTTAGCAACTGTTCAAATGAATAAGCCCTGTTTGATTACCGATATGATTTCCAGGTCTTACGCTTACTGAGAAATGGAATACCGAGAACCAACTTGGCACAATTATCGAAGTTAGCGAACAGTTTGGACGTGGACTTAAGCTCACTTTTGATTCGGTCTACGCTCCTCATGCCGGTAAAAGGACTGGAAAATTAAAATTTGACTGGGCTGCCCAAACCGCAAGGGTTTGTTTTTTTATAGTTTGCATTTTTTTTTGCTTTTTTTTCACCTTTCGGAGTTTATATCTCTTTCAATTTTCCGAATATCTTTTTTTTCCTTTGTAGGTTACCACTGAAGTAGGCCTCACCGCTTCCCCTGTAATCAATGCTGCTGCAGTTTTTAGTCGTGACGGATGGTTATTCGGTGCTGCTGCCACATTTGAGACTGCAACCAATAAGGTGTGTTCACTTTGCGGCCCATCTGTTCTTTATCTTATTTCGTAGACATAAGCTAGTTTTAGGTGTCAACCACTTCTTTGGCTTTTGGCCATCAGACGAGCAGTTACACTCTGCACTCCTTTGTTGTGAACTCCAACGATTTTGGAGCCTCTCTCTTCCATAAAGTCTTGCCCCATGTTGAAGTTGGCACAATGCTCGGATGGAAGGTATGGTATCGTGGATATAGTGCTTACTTAGTTTCTCACCTCTGTTTTAGTACAGTTTTTGAATGCATTAGTCTAAATTTCTCGGTTTCTATAGAAATAATAGTTTGATTCAAACCTCTTGCCTTTCGCGAACAAGTGTTCACGTGGTAGCATGGAATAGGATCAAATGCAGATAATATGCGTTGACTAATACGGTGTTACAAATCAAAGAATCACAGATAGAATTCACTGCATAGAACACATTCATAGCGCAGATATCTTGCAAAACACAGTGGAGAAATAGGTCGCTCGTTGGCTTCCTCTTTTCGAGCTCACCTAACGTTTATATCCATTGATTAAGTTGACATCGGAATGTTTGGAAATAATAATGATTTTATCCATTGACATGCACCTGCAAGTCGGTGTGTAGGTCATCTATGCCTTTAATTATCGATGTGATGCGTGTCGATTTCGAATGC